GCATGGTGCCACGTAGGCCTTCTTAAAGGAGCTAGTGTATCCACCCCCTCCCCCCCCCCCCCCCCCCCCCGACACTTCCTTTCTCGGGGGTTATCGGGAGTTAATTTCTTTGGAGTAACTGCTCAGGTGTGTACCCAATTGGTGCTTTCTCCCCAAGCTCTGAGGAGGTTGCCCCATAAGAGTGTTCATTCCATAGCTATTTTAGAAATCCCTTCAGCAGTTTGTTAGAAATGCACATCCCAGGGCTTACTCCCAAAGACTGACCCAGCAGGTCCTGGTGGGGACCAGGAATTTACACACTAACCCAGGGGGTTCTGACATAAACACGGTTTGTGGTCAGACTTTGAGTAACTGTCTCACAAAGCGGATGCCAACATTTCATGATCCCATCTCCAGCACCAGTTTTAAAAACATACTTCTGATGAAATGTAAGCCATATAAAAATCCTGAATTTGTAACATGGAACTTCCCCATCTTTACTGGAGATTATATTACTCTGAAATTTGATAAGGAAAGGAAAGGAAGAAGCCTTCCCTGTATAAATATTTATGGAGTAACCAAATAGTCTGTGAGGGAAGGTTGTTCCTTGTGGAAGTCTAGTTATTAGATGCAGAAGGAATGATTCTCAAATTTAAGTACTTCTTTACAGCTACTAGTGAGATAAAGAGTGTAAGGAATGAACATAAAGGGAAAACAGACACTCCGTGAAAGGGTGGTGGCTAACATTGAAATGGGGAAATCAGACCAACACCCCCTGAACCCCTAGTGCAGCCTAGAAAGATGGGAGGGTTGTGCCATTTTGTGCCTGGTGATACGATGCACTGGGAAGCCAGCTTCTAAGAAATAAACAAATAAAATACACTAAGGGAAAGCAAGAAGACAAACACAAAATGTGCGTCATTTTACAGGACAAATCACCCAATTTCTACAACAAACCAGTGCCCAGATAAAGGAGGATTATTATAAAATAGGAGACTTAAAGACATAACCAAATACTATGTGTAGATCTTGTTTGGATTCTGATTAGAAGACCATCGGGAAAATCTAAACATGGACCAGGTTTTGAATGATAATTTAAAAATATATATTGTTACCCTGGTCGGGTCGTTCAGTTGGTTAGAGTATCGTCTTGATATGCCAGGGTTGTGGGTTTGATCTCGTCTGGACACATACCGGAAGCAACCAGTGAATACATGAATAATGGATGGTTCCTCTCCCTCCCTTTCTCTAAAAAAAAAAAATCAATAAAAAATTAAAAAATATATTAGGTGTGATGACATATAGTTATGTTTTAAAATATTATCAATTAGAAATACAAACGAAAACTTTTTACAGGTGAAATGACACAATGTCTGAAATTTCCTTGAAAATGATCAGAAAAAAAGGTAAGTGGTCAGATGAATGAGATGGGCAAGCTATTGCTAATTGAAGAAGCTCAATGCTGGGTACGTGGAGCTTCAGCCTTCTCTTTATTTGGGGGTATGCTTGAAATGTTACCTAATAGTGTTTTTTTTAACTATACTGTTGCTGTAAGCACTTACCCCTTACAAGTCAGGCTAATGAGTTCAAGAAGTTGAGGTTATTGCTCAAGAATTAAAGATTCCCTTCCCCTGATGGCTCCCCTATGAACGCCATTGGAAAAACATTGGGACGTCAAAACTGTTTTCATATCTTAAAATCTTTCTTTTCTCCCTCAAAGCCTGGAAAAGCACTGGTGGTGGTTTTTTCCTTCGGCCACATTACCCTCTTCTGTGATAGCTTAATGAGGCACACAGAGTAAATGGAACTCCATTTGCTGCTCCGGCTGCTCTGACACCATTAAAAGACCCTTAAAAGCATCACTCATCTATTAAGTGAAAGCAAATTCTTGTCATTAAATTAAGGGAAAACAACTCTTTCTACTCAGGAGTTCTTGGTGTTGTAAAGTACTCTATTTAGATAATGGAAAATATAATGAAAAAGTGTTGAAGCAAAAATGGTTGTACTTCCTTGTAGCATATTTCTAGAGTAAAAGGATTGCTCTCTTTTGAATATCTGCAACTTACTTTGTTCTTGGTCGCCTAAAAGAAAACGGCTTCAGGTTAAGAATTAAGATTTCCCGAACTCAAAAGTACTGTCATTAATTAATCTGAGTGCATCTGTGAATGTTGAGGTCAATACTGTAAAAGATCTATCTGTGCAGTAATTTAATTCGTGGAAGCTATTTAGCTTCATTACCTCTCAAGCTACATTTGGCTACTTCACTCACTCCAGGGTGACTGGCATCCACCACACAATTCTCTTGCCCATCATTCCTTCTTTTTAAAAATTTGTATTGATTCGAGAGAAACTGGTTTGTTGCATTCATTGATTGACTCTTATATGTGCCCTGACATGGAACTGAACCCGAAATCTTGGCATCTCTGGACGATGCTCTAACCAACTGAGCTACCCGGCAAGGGCAATCCCTCATTCCTTCAAATGTCTACCTCCAACCCAGAAGACATCACCCATTAACTGAGACCCCTTTCAATAATTCTGTAAGTAATATTTCTAACAAGCCTTAGGCAATGACCTACCAGCTGCTTGTTGGGCTTTCCTATGAAATGTTAAATGTCAGTAAAATCCAGGTTTAAAGACAGAGCTTCTCAAAACGCCTTCTCGGAATACCTGCATCAACATTAACTCATCTGTTGAAGATTCCTGGGCCCCCTCTTGTCTACATCAAACTCGCCACTGATGGAGCCTAAAATCCTGCACCCTTAGCAGTCGTGCCAGGTAGTTCTTCCACACCCTAAAGTTTGACAACCAATTTTTCAAGAATAGGGGGTTCCTCTCAAGTCTGTGATAATAAACAAATGAAACAGCATCAGGAGTAAGCAATCAGCCAGCATGTGAAACTCTACAGGGGTTCTCAAAATACGGCCCGCGGGTCACATGCAAATACAAATATTGTATTTGTTCCCGTTTTGTTTTTTTCCTTCAAAATAAGGTATGTGCAGTGTGCATAGGAATTTGTTCATAGTTTTTTTTTAAACTATAGTCCGGCCCTCCAACGGTCTGAGGGACAGTGAACTGGCCCCGTTTAAAAAGTTTGAGGACCCCTGCTCTAGGACAACGGACATGACATGGTTTTAAAAAAATCAAAGGCATACCCACTGATAAATGGATAAACAAAATTCAGGACATCCAATCAATGGGATATTCTGCAGGCACAAAGAGGAATGACATCCCAGCACTGCATAGTACTGCTCTTGTTTGTTGGGCATTGAAAATATTATGCTGTTTAGATCCAGAGACAGAGAAGCATCCATCAGACCGTCAAACCTCAGAGGGAAGGTAGGGGCGGGTGGGGGTAAGGGGAGATTAACCAAAGGACTTGTATGCATGCATATAAGCCTAACCAATGGACACAGACAACAGGGGGGTGAGGACATGAGTGGGGGAGTAATGGGGGAATAAGGACACATATGTAATACCTTAATCAATAATTTAAAAATATATATTATGCTGTTTAAATGCAGGTAAGGGCACATGCCCAGGTTGTGGGCTGGATCCCATGTGGGGAATGCAGGAGGCAGCTGATCAATGATTCTCATCATTGAGGTTTCTCTCCCTTTCCCTTCCTCTCTGAAATCAATAAAATTATTTTACCTTATTTGAATCTTGATTCACACTGTAAAATAGGATTTTTCTTATTTTTTACAATGGAGGAAACTGAGTGTGGATTTAAAATTATTTTCTTAGCAATCCTACTGGTATTGTTGCCAGGTATGATTCTTTTCTATTGACATGAATACTGAAATATTTAGTGATGAAATACATGTTGGGTTTTCTTTAAAAAACTTAAAAAATACACAGGGCCTTATTGAATTATATCTTCATGAATATTTGGTAATTTTCATAAGCTCTAAGAATAAAGAAATTTAAGGTTTCTTGATTGTCTTAATTTGTTTAGATTCCAAAGATTTGTTGTAACTGAAATGTTAGGGTGAGATTAAAGGGCAAGTTGCTAGAGGCAAGTCCTTAAACTATCAGCAGAAAAATGTCAGAATTTATATTCCCATTGACTTGGAGAAATTAATGGACAGAGTAGAAAGGCACTGGGCTCAATGTTCGTCTTTCCCCCTCAACCCTTGGAGCATCCCGTCTGTGTGCAGTCAGTTTCAGCATCACAGTCAAGTGTGGCCTGTCTGCTTGATAACCAGAACCCTTTTCTCCCCAATGTCACATGTGCAAACTGATAATCCTCTTGCCACATAACTAGGACTTCGGAAAAAATTGAGTTTAAGTATGCTAAATCACCTTGGCTAGGAAGTATTCTGCATGAGCATCAAAAACCGTGGACACATGGAAGTTTAAAAGATTATAAGCACTCTTTAGGTTACTGACACTGAGGTTGGTCAGTATCTTCTTTATGAAGATCCAGGGGAAATTTCAAGATTTCTTTTTTTGGATATCTCATTTTTTTAATAAATTTTATTGATTTTTTACAGAGAGGAAGCGTTAGAAACCAATCAGCTGCCTTCTGCACACCCCCTACTGGGGATGTGCCCACAACCAAGGTACATGCTCTTGACCAGAATCAAACCTGGGACCCCCTTCAGTCTGCAGGCCAATGATCTATCCACTGAGCCAAACAGGTTAGGGCTGGATGTCTCATTTTATGTACTTTGGGGTCTTTTGGACTTTATCATTTTGTTGACTCCCGCCTCATACACCCCACTCACTATCTTTTGGTTTACAGGACAACGCTCCAGCAGAGCCACGCCGGACTTTACCTTAGTTCCCCCTTACTACAATTTCCTGTTTTTAGAATTTCATTGGAATATATTCTTGTAAACTACATTCAAACTCTTTGTGAACTAAAATAGGGTAGTACAAGCAATGAACGAACAAAAAATAAATTACAAATAAATATAAAAGTTGTAAGGCTGGATTTTATAGAACATGGAAAAATAAAAAAAACGGAATTTAGAAAACAAAAACGTGGCATTATGAAATAAACACTGACTCCAAAGTGGATATTATATACCTTTATTAGAGATTTTAAGAAAACGAGTTTGACATTAAGCTGGGCACCAGGAAGGACTTCTAGCACACACCTGCCTGTGTTCATCTCGCTGCAGTCACATTTCTTCCCTTATGAAAGCTTTCCCCATCGCCACCAGTACTTTCCTATTCTATTTAGCACCACTGTCTTTTATATCCCTTCTTACATTATGCAATATTCATTTTAAAAAATACTGACATATGCTCCATTTGGGCCAAATTTTGGTGCTTTTGTAGATTCAATGTAAATGCTGTGAAGAACTTAATTCTTAATAGCTGCCCTGTGGTCCTCGCCCCCCCGCCCCAGTTGGCCTAACCTGTTTCAGTATGTTACACTACATCTCAAGAGAAATGACTTTCCAGGTCACATAGCCAAAAAGTTGCATATAAGGCTTCCTGTTCAGGGCCACACATAGGTGATGGAGGCTCGAGCCACTACCACTGGTGGTCTACTTTCCTACCTAACATCCCACCCCCACAAGTTATGGGAACCCAATTCTTTGGGGTCTTCTGGGCAAAGACTGCTCTGGCTGCTTCAAGCTGATTGGGGTCATTTTGGGGCTTTGGGTTCCCATGCCTGCAGTTCGCTGAGGGATGTGGGTGCGGACGTCCAACCAGGGGCCAGGAATAAGGAGTCTGTTCCATGGGAGCGAGGACCTGGTATCCTTCAGACAGAGCTGTATGGCTGCTATATAAGGAATGTGTTGAATAAATTAAGGTGACATGGGCCCAAATATTAGGAGCCAGAATTATGGTCGCAGCAAAGGGAAGGGGAAGAGAAGCCAAGATTTGGCATTCCAGAAGGAGTCCCCAGTAATCTGTTGCTTGCCCTTTCAAAGATGTCTGGTGTTTTGTTGTACCTGCCCTGATTGATATAGAGGCAACATTCCTCCTTTAGGTGTAAACAGGTACCACATTCTGTTCTGAAGGGCTACAGGCTAAGGAATCAAGTTGCTCTTCTAACATGTTTAATTTTCTCCTGTCTTAGAGCAGCAGCTATTTTGGGATAAAAGCTGTTGGATCCCCAGTAAGGCTCCTACAGCTGTCCCCTCCCCCCAGGAGGATGGCAGGGGATGAGGAACCCTGCTCGTCCATTTAGATGACTTCCGAAATGGGGAGGGAAAGGGGGCTGTTATTCTGCTATGGAGTCATCATGCTGACATAGGGATGACATAGCCTAGAGAGCAAATACCTCTCCATCCAGCAGACAGAGCCAGGTAGACTCGGGATCCCCAAATCCAGGAAATTCCCTCGGAAGGGTAAGTTCTTCAGTTACCTGGATGTCAGCATAAGAATACCTTCCCCAGAGGCCTGGCTTCCCCTTCCGATGGAGAATCTGGTTCCCCAGAGTTGGACTCCCTGGGCTGAAAATGTGGCTGTGGTTAGGGGGTCAAGTAGAGGGGTTATAGATTTTTTTTTTCATGAGTTCTTTCAAGAAATAGGGGCCCCCCTTTGGGGATTCAAATGTAGGGTGTTTTGAGAATCAGACAAGAGTGACACAATTGCCCTTCGCCCTTAGTAAAAGGTTACATCCTTATGGGGCTTTCCTTGGCAATATCGGGATTTGGGAGGGCTCTCGTTGGACTTGATCAGCAGTAAGTGCTCCAATTCCAGAGATGTTGGTTTTATAGATCCCCAGCAGGTGGTATTGAATTGTAAAGTAATGGCAATAAGGTTGGCTAATTGATAAGCGCTACCGGAATTAGCTAGGGTGAATTAGGAGATAATAGAAGAGACTGCTGAGCCTTACCTGGAATTTAGAAGCATTCTGATTTGTTTTGGGGTCTTTTTTTGCAAAAAAGGTGTAAGCCAGGTCCAGAGGAAGTAAGTCCTCAGCCTATACCTAGGGTTTGATCCTAGTATAGTGGGCCCAACTGGCGATCCCTGGAACTTTATCATATGAGAGAACTGGGTAAGATCCTTCCCATACAGGTTGGAGTTCCTTCCCATCCTTGACTAAGACTTGTGTCCCTGGTGGGTATAGGGGTGGTCCAGAGTTCTTGGAGGGTTGGTGGGGGACTTAATGTTGCTTTATCTGTAAAATTAGAGAACAGTGTTGACTTCACGTAATTGTGAGAATTAAATGAAAAGAAGGAAATGAGGTGCCCACTGCACTGCTCTCTCACCACCAGCTACTGCGTGTGAACTCCTGTGCCGGCGCATGGACACATGGCTGCTACAACTTACACAACAATGCCTGACCTCCTCAAGTGCACTTAGCCTGAAAGTTGGTTTTGAGTCCGTTAAAATACCAGCATCACAGCATTCCAGCATCAACGGCTTGTATCTGTCGTATTCAACCTATAAAAAAAAGAGTTTTTGAATGACTAAACAGTTAAGAAACTTTTGACATGTCGTCTTCTGTTTGTCTCAAATGTTCAGAAAAAGCCTTGTGTACATGTGGTTCTACCATCTGGATTTCTTCCGCCTTCAAAGACAACCAAGGTACCCAAACTCCCCTATCTATTTGAAAACACTAGACGGCATCCCCAGAGTTTAAGAGCAGGCCTGAAGGTATCACCACCGCTAAGGTTAAATGTATCACTTTGCTCATGACTGTGTAAAAATAACACAAAAGCTGATCAAACTGAAAGGGAAATTTTCTGGTCTCAGCTGTGACTCCAGACAGGATCCAAAGAGGAGTTTTACCATCTCTTCTCTGGGTTTTATGGAGAGTTGCTTTACCCTTCTGTGTTAGCCTCTTAAGGCACTGAGTCAGCCTTAAAAGGGCACAGGAAAGGGCGACGTGGGGTCCTCTACGGTGTCCTGCAGGCCGCTCTCGCCAGTACCCCCCGGTTAACGATCCGACCCCATTAGATGCAGCTGTTCTGCCCCGCGGAGCCGAGAAGGTAAATGCACTTCACGTTAGGCGGGTAGACTCCGGCCTTTGCACCAAACCGGCGCCCGGGCACCCTCTGGTCGCCATGTGCCATGTGCCACGTGCTCTGGGCCTGGGTCATTTCATTTCAAAAAAAGGGACGTACCTGCGCTTAGACCTCAGACCGCTGCACCCACAGGCGTCGGAGACACACTCCCCAGGCCCAAGGTCGCGCTGGGGCCCGCTCTCGCCCCCGCAGGCCGGGTGGGGCCGGAACCCCAGCCGCTACACTGTAGCCGCGGCTGCGCCCTGGGGAAGCAAAGCGCAAACTTGTAACCGCGCCCGGCCGCCCGCGCGGACCTCCAGGCGGCTGCGCGCGGTGTCTGTGCCTCGCGCGGCACCGGGACGGGCAAGACCGCCCGCCCCTCGGGCCGCCAAGAGCTACTCTACCCCTCGGTTCTGGCCGCCGGGAGCAGAGGAGCTCCGGGCGGGCAAAGCTTGAGGGGACCCGGGATGACCCCCCCTACCCTCCCGGCCCGAGCCCACCCCACCCGGCCGCTGGGGGACCGCCCTCCCGCCGGGACCGCGCGTAGAGGCGCACTCACCGCCGACTCCACGAGACTGAGAGGCCGGTGCCTGGCGCGCACCGCGGAGACCGGTTCTGCAGCGCGGGGCGGGGCGGGGCGGGGCGGGGCGGGGCGGGGCGGGGCGGCGCGGCGGGCAGCCAATCCCCGGGAAGCCCGGCCGGGGCGGGGCGAGCCCGGCCATTGGTGCCCGCGGTCCTCCGCGCGCCCGGCTCCCGGTTCTTTCCGAGGCGGGAGGACGAGCCGAGCCTGCGCGGAGCCTCCTTCTGGGAACCCGAGTCCCGGCGCCTCCCCAGGCCTTGGCCCTCGTGGATCTGGTTCCCTAAGGCCCCCGCGCCTTTCTCGGGACTCTCCTGCGGATGCCCTGGCCTTACCCCGGGGCCGGACCACGACCCAGACATTTCCTTCCCTACCACTGCGCTAGCCGATCGTGTGATTGGAGGCCGTCCTGCGAAGCCATGAGCCTAAAGGGAAGCCGGCCACGTCCCTTTCGACCAGCGCGCCCCAGGGCCCCTCCCAATCCTTGGGGGACCAGCCTCCCTCTTGCTCTCTGTTCACTGGCTTGCAGTGTAGATGAGTAGCCGGCCAGCAGCCAGGGTGGGCCGCCATGCCTTTCTCTAGGAGACACTCAAATGGCAAACAGGTAAGGGGAATACCATTGGAGTATACGCCAAAAAGGAAAGTTTGATTACTGTTTCCAGACTTTACCATCTGTTAACAAATGTAATCCTCAAAATACCTTTTATGACCGCCCTGGCCTGTGTGGCTCGGTTGGTTGCCTATGCACTGAAAGGTTGCAGGTTAGATTCCCAGTCGGGGCGCAGGCGGGGTTGTGGGATCCATCCCGGGTAGGGGCCCTGGTAGGGGCGTGCAGGAGTCAGCCCACCCATGTTTCACTCCCACATAGATGTTTCTCTGTCCCTCTCCCTTTCTCTCTCTAAAAATAAGGGAAAAAATATTTTAAAATACCTTTAATCATCCCCACATTATAGGGGGGGGGGGGGGGAGGAAGAATACATAAATCCGCATTATTAACCGGTAATATATATCTTCATTATTAACCAGTAATACTTAAATCCGCATTATTAACCGGTGATCATTAATCCGCTAGAAACGGGCTGGGACCACAGGAGCAGACCATTTAAGTAAGGCAGGTAATCCCTCTGCACAGCCTACCACACTGCACTGCATGCATTAGAAAGTGTGTTAACAATAGGACAAGTTCACCCGCTATTTTTAATTCAAATGTCCCAGTCAAGGTTGCAACCCCTTCAACCTTGCAACACAGACAGCGTGAGCGTTAGTACCTGGCAGGGCCTAATCAGATCGCGCGTTAGGACCACGGGTTCCTTCTGCCAAGTGGCAGCAGAGCCGCTCTGTTGGAAACCTCCGCACCCGCAGGTGAACGAGGAAAAGCCCAGCAGCAAAGGCAGGTGAGGGAAAGTCCGATCTCCAGGCTAAGAGCTCCCGGACCGGCCTCGCCTCACCTTGGCCTCCGGCACCGGGGGTCAGGGGTTCTGACAAAGGCAGCTCCTTCCTGCGGCTCCTCAAACTCCCAGGTCGCCTTCATCGCCCCTCAATGCCCCTCCGCTCAGGGTCGGAATCAGTGGAGGCCTCCAGGTGTCCATGAATGTAGGGAATTTCCCCTAGCAGTGGGAGCCAGTGACCCAGGGCCTGAGGGAGACCTGCATCCTCCCCTGCAGCCAGGAGAACCCTGGAAGACCCGGTCTGCCCATCACCCATGAGCGCACCCGATTGGGTAAGCACGGATGCTCCTGTGCCATTGGTCTTTTCCAGCCACACAGCCCGGCTAAGAGGGTGGGGAACAGCAGAGACTTGAGACCCCTGCAGGGAATGAGTCCTAAGCTTCAGACAGGTACTGTCTCATTGACCCAGTCCAAGAGCGGAGGCTTCTAGGTGAAACAGGAATTTTAGGGGTAAAATAGGACAGGTTTAGGAAATTTTGGAAATTAAGGGGACCATGGAGGAAGCACAGGGCTACAGAGCAGCAGAATGTATCCTATATAATGAAACTCCAATATGCAAATTGACCTAATGGTGGAATGACCGGTTGCTATGACATGCACTGACCACCAGGGGGCAGATATTCAACACAGAAGCTGCCCTCTGGTGGTCAGTGTGCTCCCACAGGAGCCAGAAGCCCGTCTCAGGACTGGCAAGCACAGTGGCAGTGACAGTGGCGGGAGCCTCTCCCTCTTCCACTGCAGGCGGGAGGTAAGGAGTGAAGGGTCCTGGACTGCAAGAGAGATGTCCGCCTAGGGGTCCTGGACTGTGAGAGGGCACAGGCCAGGCTGAGGGATACCCCCACCCCCGCAGTGCACAAAATTTCATGCACCGGGCCTCTAGTATTTCCATAGAATGGAAGAGCTGGAAAGTTGCAACAGGTACATTTCCATAGAATGAGGGAGCTGGGAACAGCAAAAGGTCTATATTTACAAAATACAGAGAAGGAAGCCCTTTTTCCAGAAGGAGAAGAAGAAAGCCCAAAGGGAATAGGAAAACAATAAGGAAGGAGGGGAGGTGAGAACTTCACATGTCCCATGTGAGGTTCGACCTTTGAATCCATGCGTTACTATATAGTAACCAGTTTAGGGGAATAGTGCCCAATCAGAGGATATCAAGGCACCAGGATCTGCAGCCTTTGTAAGGTATAGGGAAAAAGAACTCTGTGCGACCCTTCCCCCCTCCCCTCCACCCATGTGGGAGTCTATTTATTCTTAAATAAATCTCTACCTTTACTATACCACTTTCTGTCTGTGGATTCATTCTTCGATTCCGGCAGACGAAGAATCCAGGTTCCAGTCCAAAATACCCATTTCATAGGGACCTTGCCAAATTAAGGTATTTCTCTTGAAGCTTTCTAATCTCAACACCTTCTATCTTGCTCAGCACAGTATGCAGTGAGAACTGCTTTTTTTTTTTTTTTACATCACTAAATCCCCTGTGCCTCATTAAGTCATCAAAATAATCATCAATGAAGTGGGCACTGTTAATAATTTTTCAAGTGAAGAAACCAGAAGAAGGGAATTTAGTGACCTGCCCCAAAGTCTGTGTTTTCTCTTTAAATATCAACTATAGCCTGTCCTTTCCGTTCCTGTTGCTCTACTTGTATTCAGGCCTTCACAATTACTTGCCTGGGCTACTTCTAGAATGGCCCCTTAACTCCTCTCCTAGCCGTGTACAAAGCCAAGAATTAATCTTCCTAATGCAAAGCTGATCACGTCTCTCAAATCCTTCTCAAGTCTCTCAAATGTCAAATCCTTCTGTGGCCTCATTCCCCAGAGGTTCTGGCAGTGGGTGCTACTCATTAAAGTCTTCCCCTTTGGATCAGTGCACAAACCGGAAATGAACAGCCTGCTGAAGTTTCACAAACACGTCACACCAGCAATGAGCTAAAAAGACAACATAACCAGCATCCCAGACGTGTGTCCTTCCTGAAACTTACTACTCCCTCCCACACAAGGGTTTTCCACCATCCTGACGAAGAAGAGCACGTAGTCAGTCTAGAGTACCATTCCTTTTTGTACATTATATAAATGGAACAATTACAGTGCATACTGTTTTGTGTCTGGTTTCTTTAAGTCACTGTTTAGGTTCATCCATATGTTAACTATAGTTAGAGTTTGTTCACGAGAATGCAGATTTGGGGAGAGAACTGAGAGTTAAGGTTTGGCCATGCTCTATGGCCAAATGAGATGCCTATGAAACATCCAGGTGGAGATGACCAATAAGTATAAACACAAGAGTTTAAAGTTGAGTGGAGAAACCAGGGTTGGCGACACAGATTTGGGAATCACCGACACATCAATGCTATTTAAAGACACAGGGGCTGCATTAGAACGCTGGTGGGATTTGTTATGCAGATGACAACGAGGAGGGGGCCTAGAACCAGCACCGAACACTCTCACATTTAGAGATGGGGCGGAAGAGGAGCTAGCCAAGGAGTACCTAATGGAGCAGGAGGAAAACCAAGAGACTCTGTGTATTAGTCAGGGTTCTTCAGAGAAATGGAACCATTATTATAAGGAATTGGCTCACATGATTACAGAGGCTGGAGAGCCCCAAGATTTGCAGGGTGAATCAGCAAACTGAAGACCCAGGAGGGCTGATGGTGTCGGTCCAGGCTGAGTCCAAAGGCCTCAAAACCCGGAGAGCTGATGGTATAGTTTTCACCTGAGGGCCAGCAGGCTCAAGATCCAGGAAGAACTAGTGTTTCAGTTCACATCTGAAAGCAGGAAAAAGGCGAAAATCATCCATGTTTTCCTGTAACAATTATTTTTATTTTAACTGATGTCCCAGTTTTAAGGCAGTCAGATAGGGACAATTCTCTTAGTCAAGGGAGGGTCAGCCTTTTTGTTCCAATTAGGCCTTCAAGTGATTAGAGAAGGCCCTCCCACCTGAGGGAGAGAAATCTGCTTGACTCAGCCCACTGGTTTAAACGCTAATCTTACCCAAAACACCCTCACAGAAACACTCAGAATGTTTGACCAAATACTTGGGACCCCATGGCTATGTCAAATTGACACACACAATTAACCATCAGTGTGACTGAGAGGAGGTGTTTGGAAAGGGGGAGTGTCCAACTGCTAAGAATGGCACTGAGAAATCTAAGAAACTAGCGGACAATTGAGTTGGCAAGGGGGAGGTCGCAGCGTCCTCCCTGGTGGACAGGAGGGGACTGAGGGAAGTGTGAGGTGCAGACAGTGAGAAGTTCAAGGGCACATCATCAAAGCCGAGGGAAGGCAGGGTGTAGGTATGAACAGGGGTAGGTTGGTGAGAAGATGACAGGCTATTTGTCTAATTGCTTTTACTCAGTGAAGTATGAGACAAGTTCATCAGATGAAAATGTGTGTGTGTGGGGGGGGAGTGGAAGGAAGTATAAGACTATTTTTTAATATAAAA